CATTTATTGTATACTTACCGTAGCAAAATTTTCAGAACTAACATATAAAAGCAATAGTACAAACAATATCATAATTTCATATTCAATTAACCAGAACAATAACTTTTCCTTTTTATCTGTCTACTGATATCCATTGGGGTCCATAGGGATGTTCCCACTACGCGTGAACCCTTATTTAATATTTTAAAGTAACCGGCCGTCCCCATACCCCGTCTGGTATGAACGCTAAAAATGTTATCCCACAATATTGCATCCGGTATAAGGGTGAAACGGGCCGTTCCTGTACCCCGTCCGATATGAGTACCAAAATACCAATTCTCGATACCTCGTCCGGTATGAGGCAACGTTCACGGTAGGGTTCCCTATGCACCTAATCCATCCACCATCTCCCAGGACATCTAGTAAGGTTACCATTCATTCATTCACTTAATCAAACAATTCTCCGTTTACATTTAATTTTTATTTTCACTATCTAACTGTAAATTACATAAAACAAGTAATACATGCATCAAGAAAATACAACTGAATCATCATACCAACTCCAATGTAATATTATACATTTAAAACAGTAAAATAAATCAAACAGGATTAACAGTGAATAATAACCGGTTCTGGCTCCATTAGTAATTTGTGATTAATTATCGAAATTTTCTAATTTGTACAAAATATTACATTACTATTTATAATTAAACTTCAATTCTCAACAAGGAATAGGGTGAAGGATTCTTACTCAAATCGATGTCTAAAACACTAAGCTTTCAACTGCACCTACTAACGGTCTCCGGGTTTCCTGAATTTTTCTTTGGAGATTAAAACACGCTTCAAATACCTAAAAATATCAAAAAAAATCTAAAATCGATGTTAGAAACTCTTTTCAGCCAATTTTGGGATTCCGGCACAGCGGCGTTGCTGTGCTTCGATGACGGCACCGTCGTTTATGACGACAGTTTGCCTCAAGTTGGCCGTTTTTGGCTAGTTTTAACCGATTTCAACCGGTTTTGTACTTATCCCTGCGAGAAAACACGTTAAGGGGCATCGGTTGGCCGGAAAAAATCGAAAAACAAAACCTTACCAGCGACAAAGTTTTTCGGTGCAGCAGCTTCGCTGGCTCACCTTCACGATTGGACGTTTTTCTTCGGTCAACCTGTAGGAAACAAAATAGTGAATACAGTTGTGGAAAAATTTCACAAAACACAAATCGGAAAGGGCCTCATCGGATATTTTTTAATTTTTCCTGTGGTGGCGCTGTCAGGCTTTACCCGCGATTTTTGGTTCATCCGCAAGTTCTTTTTCTCCAATTTGGTCATGGGGGTGTTCAAAATCAAATTTTGAGCAACTGGGAGAATTTTTTACCTTTTTTGGCAGTCGGAGGTGGCTTCGGCGCAGCGGCGAGCGACGGTTGGCTCCCTTCGCAGCGACTAGTTGTTCTTTTTCGACAGGCGAGGGGAGGGGATGAGGGTGGGCTGACGGCTACGGTTAGGGTTTGGTGTGAATTGAGGTATTTATATCCGTTTTTCTTTTAATCTTGACCGTCCATCGCATGTGATCTGAACCGTCCGATCATGTTTAACTAAGATATGAACCTAGACCATTCATTGCGATTTGATATAGACCAAACTATTGCCTTTAAAGAGAGAACAAATCTAGGTCGTTCATCACGTTTAATCGCGATCGTCCGATCGCACCTGAGGAGGGAACGGATCCGGACCGTCCACATGCGCGGGAACAAATCCAGACCATCTAATCGTGGGCACTCTGATTTCCAGCATGTCCTCCCGCATGGCACCGCGTCAACATGCCTTGCCACATGGTGCCCTCTGGTTCGTCGGGGCTGCTGACTAGGCGGTCCTACATTGCACATTTTTTCTAAATTATGTTTTGACCCCTAGTTTCTTATTTTTCTTTTAAAAACATCCCCAGAACCCAAATTTTCATATTTTTTCCCAAAATTATTTTCAGTTTCATCATCTACCTATTTTTCTTAATTTTTACATTAAATAAAAATTCATAAATTTAAAAATTAAATGTTACATATTAATTTTAAATATTTTAAAATTAATTCTGAGTATTACAACTCTCCCTCCTTAAAAGAAATTTGGTCATTCAAATTTGTCTCTCTCTCACTCAATCAAACAATTGGGAATACTGGACTCTAAAGTCTGATTCTAGCTCCCATGTGGTCTCTCCCTATGTGTGATTCTGCTATAGGACCTTAACAAAGAGAATTTTTCGATTACAGTACTCTGCTCTTTCAGTCTATAATACTGATCAGTACCTCCTCGTAGGACAGATCCTCCTAGAGTGAAAAAGGCTTGTCGGCCAAAACGTGAGAGGGTTTGGGTTGTATTTGCGTAGCATGGACACATGAAACACATTATGGATCCTGAAAAATTCTAGAAGCAGTGCTGTATGTAAGCGGCAGTGCCAATTCTGTATAAAATTTCAAATGGCCCAATAAACCGGGGGATTCAATTTCATCTTCTTGCCAAACCTACTGATTCTCTTGAACAGAGTGACCTTAAGAAACACTCGATCACCTTTCTCAAATTTCAAATCCCTCCTCCGGGTATCCGCATAACTCTTTTGTCTGCTATGAGCAGTCCAGATGTTCTTCCTGATCTTAACTATTTTAGCTGTAGTCTCATCCACAAGATCTGGACTAAATAATCTTCTATCACCCACCTTTTTTCAACAGATCGATGATCTGCATGAGCGGCCATACAACGCCTCGTACAGAGCCATGTTGATACTTGCTTGGTAGCTATTATTGTAGGCGAACTCTATTAGGGTTAAATGATCATCTTAATGCCCCCCAAGTCAATGACACAAGCTCGAAGCATATCCTCTAGTGTACAGATCATCTTTTCTTATTATCTATCGGTATGAGGGTGGAATGCAGTATTAAGAGATAGTTTTGTTCCTATGGCCTACTAAAAACTAGACTAGAACTGAGAAGTGAACCTGGGGTCCCTGTCAGACACTACTGTCACTAGCACTCCATGTAACCTGACTCTCTCCCGAATATACATTCTTGCTAGCTTGTCCAAATAGTCGGTCATCCTGATGGACAAGAAGAGGGAAGACTTGGTGAGCCGGTCAATAATTACCCAAATGGTATCATGTCTCGAGCGTGCCTTAGGCAATCCTGTCACGAAATTCATTGTAATATATTCCCACTTTCACTCCAGAATTGGTAATGGCTAAAGTAGCCCGCCTAAATGTTGATGCTCTGTCTTGACTTGCTGACATACCAAACACTTGAAAATAAATTCGGCCACATCTCTTTTTATCCTGTTCTACCAAAATTGGGGTCGCATACTTTGATATATCTTAGTGCTTCTGGGATGCATGACAAACTTTGAGTTATGAGCCTTTGTCATGATGTCCTAAAATCTAAGCAACCCATCGGCACAGACTCAAAATTCTGAATTAACTTCCTGTTCTGTATCTTTATTGAGGGCTGCTAAGGTGGAATCGATGGATTAGTCTTCCTTTATTCTCTAGATCAACTCAGATTGAACAGTCAGGTGGGCCAAACATGTGACTCTCTTCAGATCCTAAAGTTATACCTATTGTGTGACCCCTATTGTCCTGCATTCTGAAACCATAAGGTGAGCTAATATACTTGTACTTTTTCTACTGAGTGCGTCGGCTACCACGTTGCCCTTACCTAGATGATATAAGATATTACAATCGTAGTCCTTGAGGAGTTTTATCCATCTTTTCTTACGCATGTTGAGATCGTTTTGAGTGAATATATGTTTCAAGCTCTTATGGTCGGTATAGATCTGAAAGGTCTCCCCATACAAGTAATGGCTCCAAGTTTTCAAGGCGTGGATAATCGCAGTAAGTCCCAAGTCATGGGTGAGATCATTTTTCTCATGACTCTTCAACTGTCTGGACTCATAGGTTATGACATTTCCATGCTGCATCAAAGCACAACCCAGTAGATAGGAGGCATCACTATAAGCTGTATATTCACCTGTCCCGTTCGGCAAAGCCAACACATGTGCAGTAGTCAACTGCTTCTTTAGTTCTGAAAAAATCCTTTCACAGTCCTCGTTCCACTCGAACTTGACGTTCTTCTTTATGAGCCAAGTCAAAGGAGCAGCTAGAATAAAAATTCCTTCCACAAACCTGCTATAATAACCTACCATTCTCAAAAAGCTACGAATCTCCTTAACCGAGGTTAATTTTTTGCAGCCGAGCACTACCTCAACCTTTTCGGAGTTCA